TTCAAAGAACTAACATCTATCCTCTGGTCCAAAAAATTCAAAAGGAGGGAAGCTTCCAATCTCATTTAATGAGTTTAACATTGTCTTAATTCTAAAACCAGATAAAGACACTACAAAGAAAGAAAATTATAGGCCAATATCCCTGATGAACACTGATGCAAAAATCTTCTACAAAATATTATTAAACTGAATTTAGCAATACATTAAAAAATTATACACCATTTATCTAGTGGAAATTATTCCTAGTTGCAAGGTTGGTATAATATCTGCAAATTAATTAATGTGATACACCACATAAACAAAAGGATGATAAAAGCCATAGGATCGTATGAATAGATGTAGAAAAAACATTTTACAAAAACCCAGCACCTATTTATGAAAAAAACTAGAGGCCTGGTGCACAAAAATTTATGCACTCGGGGGGCAGGGGTGGGGGGATTCCTCAGCCCGGCCTGTACCCTCTCACAATCCGGGACCCCTTGGATAGGGTCCCTAGGCCTGGCCTGAGATCAGGGCCTATTGGGGTTTTCCTTCTCCCGGCTGCAGGCAGCTGGCCCCACCCCCACTGCTGCCACTGTTTGCCATCTGTGCAGCGCTGCCCCCCCTCCCCTGCCACCAGTGGCCTCCCTCTGCAGGCGATAGGCATGGGGTGTGATGGTTTGGCTGACCTGGGCCTCCCTCTTTCTTTGCTGGGGGGCGGGAACAGCCCTGCAAGGGGCCTTTTGCCTAACCTGATCGCCCTAACCACTGGCTTGCCTACCTGATCACCCCTAACCACTCTGCCTGCCTGCCTGATCACTCCTAACCACTTGCTTGGGTGCGAGGCCAGGCTGGCGAGGGGCCGTGGTCATTCTGGTCTCTGGTTGTTCTGGTCGTTACACTTATAGTGGCTGGCCTTTTATTATATAAGATAACAGTGGGAATAGATTCAACATACCTCAACATAATAAAGGTCATATATTGCAAACCTACCAATTTGTATTTATTTGGGAGCTGCAGAGACTGCCCAACTTATCCAAATACTAGAAGAAATAAACTAAGATTATTATTTAGAAACTACATTTTAAGATCTACATATATATGCAAAATCACCTGGAAAAGAAAAAATGGCTTCCAGGCCAGCAAGACTCCACAGAAACCAAACTGACTGTGCTGTTCAATGTAAAGAAAGTGTGGGTCATTTAACCAAGAGTGAATTAGCCCTAATAAGCTTCAATACTAAGGGTCACTAAGCCAAGACTTGATGGTGGATCTTTGGAGCACTTTCTAAGAAAGAAGGAGTCAGATTTCTAGCATTTAAGCTCCAACTGTAAGATTTCCCATGGAGTATCATAGATTCATTATCTTATTTTAGCCCAGTGCTATTAAGCATTCATGTCATATAATTCTCCCTGTTCTCATTTATGCTCACCTTATAGGTTTGTAATTCTTATTTCCCATTATAAATTAAAATTTGGTTTCTGATTGTGATTTGTCTTCCCAAGTAGACCCATCGACTGTAGACTTCAATGAGGTCCTCCATGAGGAAACATCTACATCTTCAAAGCTCAAGACCAAGCCCAGCCAGCTAGCTTTCCTTTGGATAATATTTCCATACCACTTCTAATCACAAGATGACCAAAATCTATACCTGGTATATAAAATGAGTTGATAGAAACTTAAAAGAAAACTTCCCCACATCTGCTTAAGATTATTTCTATCATGAACATAGCTGAAATTCTTGTTTTTCCTGCTAAAAGTCCTGTGAGTTAACTTGGTTAAGGAGTTATATGACCTCAAAACGCTGGCTAAGTTTATGAGTCTGAGTTCATTAGGCTTTTTGTTGCAGGGACCAAAGACTGGCTCAGGCTGCCTCAAGCAAGTTGGATGTGTTATAAGGATACAATTAGCACTTATGAGGAAGGATGCCACAGGAAATCTGGAAGGTCTGGATCAATAAGAGAGTCAAGAACCAAGCTTGAGAATAAGAGGGTTATGATTGTGCCCCTCAGCATCCAGAGCTCAATGATTTCCAGTTTTGTTCTCCTGCGTTCTCTCTTTATTCTGCCTCTTGGTGTTTTCCCTCCTGTTTTTGTTCAGATGACTTTCTAACTTCTCCCTCTCTCAATATCCAAATCTGAGAGGGAAGATCAGATTAGACCTCAATCCACTATCATTTGTGTTCTGGTAGGGCCTTTGCAACATGCCTGCTCTGCTGCTGCTGGCCAGTCTAGAGGGCAATTCCCTTTGGATTAGGTGTTCATTCCATACAATCACCTGGTGAGGTAAGGCAGTTTGAGTGGTTAGAACCTGGCCTCAGGCACCCAGAAGTCTGAGCATGAAGCAGGTCTCCTGAGAAAAACCTGTGGGTTGGCCAGAACCTGTAGGTTAATAGAACCAGATAATTAGTTCACAGGGTCAGGGAATCCAAATGTAGGTATGTGAATAGGCTACATCAAATCTTTCTGGATCCATTTAAAAAATATAGAACTCTGAGTTTCACTCCAGATGTGCTGAATGAAAATCTCAAGGGGGAGGATTAAGAAAAAAATTATATATACAAGATGTCCCGAAAAATGTATAGACACTTTGAATAACTATTGATTCCAATGGGTTAAATCTGAAAAGAAAGAAACATCAATTGAGCTATTAGAAAAATGTGGGTATACATTTTTTGCGACACCCTGTATTTATGTATATGTATATATATGTACATATATTTATGAGTACATGAAACACAGTTTATTGTTGTATTATTATTATTATTATTAATTGTATTATTTTTGAGACAGACCATTGTATATCTACTTTTGCCCCACCCTGTGTGTGTATACATGTGTATACGCATATATGATCTCTCCAAGTGACCACTGCTCCACTGCTTTGACATTGTGAGGGAACAGTGAAAAATGAGAAGGGTCAGACTCAAAGTTAGTAAGTCTTCTTGATTCTTTTAATAAATTTCTAGAGAAATGTCCATGTACTCTAAGTAGAAATGTGGCTGAAAGCACACTCTGAAAGTAGAAGTGCTGAAGTGAAGTAGGTTCCTCCAAAGAAATAAAAATATAAGGAATGTGTCCCTATAATTCCTAGAGTTTATACAAAAGACAAATCTAAAAGACCAGCAAGAACTAATGGTATAATCAAACACTGCAATCCTTTGGTGTGGCCTCATAAAAAGTTGAGAATTTGTTTTCTCTTTTTCCTGATCTATAACAGGTATATTCAGTGGCATATTATAAGCAACATGTAAAGTAATTTTATCAAAATGCTACCTGAATTATAAGTAAAATTTAATCCTATCTAATAAAGAAGTAATATGCAAATTGACCATCACTCCAACACACAAGATGGCTGCCCCCATGTGGACACAAGATGGCCAGCAGGGGAGGGCAGTTGGGAGGGACCAGGCCTGAAAGGGAGGGCAGTTGTGGGCGATCAGGCCTGCAGGGGAGGGAAGTTGGGGGACCAGGCCTGCAGGGGAGGACAATTAGGGGCGACCAGGCCAGCAGGGGAGGGCAGTTAAGGGTGACCAGGCTGGCAGGGGAGGGCAGTTGGGGGTGATCGGGCCGGCAGGGAGCAGTTAGGCATTGATCAGGCTGGCAGGGGAGCAGTTAGACGTCAATCAGGCTGGTAGGGGAGCAGTTAGGCATTGATCAGGCTGGCAGGCAGAAGCGGTTAGCGGCAATCAGGCAGGCAGGCAGGTGTGCGGTTGGGAGCCAGCAGTCCTGGATTGTGAGAGGGATGTCCAATTGGACATCCCTCGAGGGGTCCCAGATTAGAGAGGGTGCAGGCTGGGCTGAGGGACACTCCCCTCTCCTGCATGAATTTCCTGCACCGGGCCTCTAGTTTAAAAAAATAATTTAAGAAAATTTTTCATTTTAATGGAAGAAAGAGACTAAACTATTTTGTGATGTTTTAAAGGAAGAGTTGTTTAGCCTAATAATATCACTATAAAAAATAATCACATACTTTAGAATATTATCATCTTTATTACAAAACAAATATTTTATGTTGAGGTAACATTTCAAAGGGTATTTGGCAAAAATCAATTGAATTCTATAGATACAATTTTGTTATGTGCAACATATGTAAAGCACTCAGAGGACAGCTTTTCTAGCATTGCACATAGACTGATTTTAGAAAAAAAATAAAGCTAAAAGTTATCTTTTTAAAGAGGACTCTTCTTCTCCCACTCTCCCCATCCAGTCCTTCATATTTATCACCAGCAGTCAATGAGGTGATGTTCGTGGGAGTGCCACAAAAAAGTGTCAAAAATGATAAATTAGTTGAAAAAAAGTTTTGTTAATCCAAACATCTCACACTGGTTCTTAACTTGAAAGTGCTTTCACAAACTGAACATTCCATCATATGGGATTTACTATTGCTTATCTCAAGAATAAATGAAATTCTCTCATCTTCAATGAAGAAATCCTATGAAATGGTCTGAGCCAGGGTCTTCTCTGCTGTGGAGCCCTCCCTTCCCTGATTCTCCAAGGCAAAGTTAGTTGACCTCTTTTATGCTCTCATAAATTTTGTTAATACCTCTGTTATTGCACTCACCACACAGCATTGCACTCATTTTTGTTTCCCTCATATGTATTCCTCTTTAGCTTTTTAGCTTTATTTATCCTCCTATAAGCTCCTCAGGAGCAAGAAACAAGCCTTGAGCTTCTTAATATCCCTAGCACCTAGCACAGTGCTTGGTACATAATAGAATTTCAATAACTGTTTGTTAGGTTCATCAATTAGGAACTATTTCAGCTGTGAAGCTATAATGCACATCTTTCCTTGCTTCCAGTTTCATTGAGTGTGTTCTGGTGTCATTCCAACTTATTTAAACCTTTATGGTTGGTGACACCCTAGAAACAAATACAATGTCCAGCAATTCCTTTCAGAAAGAAGTGGCCTTCGGTTATCCATCTGATATAAACATCAATAAGTTATAGTTCTATTTCTGTCCCTACTCTCCAAACTCCAAGACTCCTTAACCTGAGAGCCACTTCTTAGGAGAGCTGATGCTAATAGCCGTCTTGGCAGTCGTTGTCGTCCTGATCCCCAACGGGTTTGTTGTGATAAGCATCAACTGTTAGTTTTCTGCTTTCTATCTCCGTGTTTTTGGACTGGCCAGCTTCCTCACTGCTTGAATTGCTCTCGGTGGAGTTGCTATCTTCTTGCGATTTGCTGCTGTCCTGAGAATCACTGCCATCATCTTCCTCAGACTGGCTCTCCGGGCTCTGGCTCTCCTGGCTCTGGCTCTCGGTGGAGGCACTGTGAGACTGGAGGCCCTCCTGGCTAGAGCTGTTATCCTCAGGGGACTCTGGGCTTTCCTCTGAGAATTTGAGGCTCTCATTGGATTCACTATCAGCTTGCTCCTCTCTGGATGTGCTTTCTGAACTGGAGGGTGTGCTCAGGCTGTCCTCTTCACTGGAGTCACTGGAGTCCTGATCTTCCGAGTGAGTGGAGGTATTATCTGGGTTGTCACCCCTGGACTTACTCAATACTTCTTCCTGAGATTCACTACTGGTTTCTTGAGATGGCAGGTCAACCTCTTGACTAGATTCACTACTGGGGTCTTGTTCATTTTGACTGTCTGCCTGGACCTGATTCTCCTCACTATCTTCTTGAGATTCACTCTTGCTGTTTTCCCTGGATTGGCTGAGGCCGGCTTCTTTGGTGTTTTCTGTGGAGTCACTTTTGACTTCTTCTTGGCTATTGCCACGATCACCTGTGTCATCTTCCACAGAAATGCGGGACTTTCTGAAAAATTTCCTACCGGGATTCTCCACTGATTGGCTCTCCCCTGAATCCTGAGTGTTGGCTTGCCCATCACTATTTCCTCTTGATTCTTTTGATTTGACACTGGCGCTGTTCATTCTGGAGTGGCTTCTCTCACTCCTGATGGTATCTGGATCATCGCTCTGCATTCCTTCATCATCAAACTCAGAGCCATCCCCATGGCTGCTGTCTCCCTCACTGCCACCTCCCACCCAGCGCTCCTTACTCTCACTCTCCTTGTCAAGGTCCCTGCTCTCACTGGTGGTATCTTGGCCACTGTCTTCCCCATGAGAGGCACTATCTTCCCTGGACTCTGTGGCATCTGCTGAGTCTTCATTACTACTGAGTCTAGAGTTTCCTCCTTGTGTCTCTTCAGGTCCTGGGCCATTGTCATCATCACCAAAGGTGTCATCTCCACTGTCATCTTCATCATCATCTCTATCATCTCCTTCTTTGCCTCCATTCCTAGAGAAGCCACCTGCTGGCCTATGAGCATATGGATGATCAGCAAGGCTCAGGCCTTCCTCTGATTCGGCACTGTCACTGGGGTCTTCATTTACCTGGAGTTTGAGGTTAACAGACATGGTCAATACTTTAGGGTGATATAGAGGGTTTGTGTTATCTAGTATCCATCTAGGTTCTTTCTGTTTTCTCCTTCCTGTATCCCTTATCTAAACCATGGTCAATTTTACTGCTCCATAATATCTCTACCAAAGGTTCAAAAGGAAGAAAGGAGAGGTAAAATTCAAGTCTTCCCATTTTATATAAGCATAATTCACTCATGCTGCAAAAAATTCTTAAAACACTTTATTGAATCACATTTATGAAACTCAAATTATATTGTATGATTCCTTAAATAAAACTCTCAGGGAATGTTTTGTAAAGAGTTAGTTTATAATGCTCACTCATCAAAATATTTGGTTTAAAACAGAATTTTTTAAAATACTGAATGATTTTTAAATGACCCCAATTTTTTTCTAATCAATTGGGGGTGGAGGTGGATATATTAGGGCAGGAGGATAAAACCTTTAGCTAAAATGAAAGTAAAATATTGCAATAAGGTATCTATCTCATTCAAACCATGTTTATATCTTATTATCCCAGTGAAAGGCTCAGCTAGAAGACTGCAATAGCGTGACTGCCCGGGCAGCTAATAATTCATCTTCCAACTGTGGTCACGTATAAAATGAAACATGGGTCAAAACTGCAGAGAAAAACCTGATTCCTGGAATCTCCAGAGCCCCATAGGGTTCAGTTTGGTCAGAAATGATACAGTTAAGAAAGTAATGACATTTAGTCTTAGAGAAATGAAGGGAGAGGAGGAAAAGAAGAAAGACAGTTTTTTTATTAAAGAGATTTAAGCTACGTCAGCTTTTCTCAATCCCAGGACCACAACTATTTTAAAGAGAAAGTCATTTCTAAAGCCCCTGTTTCATTCCATTTTCCTCATGGCTCTCCTATTCTCTCCTTAACAGAGTCCTGACATGAAGGAGGTCACCAGGCCCAGCAGGCACTCCATGTCATGTTAGCCAGAACACTTTTCTCTACCTGATCTGAACTGCTCTGATTGTAAAAGCAGCATTTTTAATGAACTAGTGAACTATTGCTTGTCTAACATAGTCTCTGTCCATTGTGTGTGTGTGTGTGTGTGTGTGTGTGTGTGTGTGTGTGTGTTCTTTTAACTAGAGTGATATTTATGGCCACAATGTCTATAATCTGGCTCCAGTAACAAATATAGAATGAACAGCATGTTTACATCTGAATTCTCCCACTCATTTTTCCCTTCTTATTTTATGGGACTTTTTAGTCAGCATAACCAATAGTTAGAAAATATTATATTTAGAACAGTTGCCAGGTAATTTAGTCTAACATCATTTCCTTCCATTCCTAAACAGTCTGAAAAGTTAAGAAAGGTCTGTTTAATTACCTGCTCCTCTGAGCTAACTTTACTTTCTTCTGATGACTCACTACTCTCCTAAAAGGAAAAAAAAAAGTTGTTTAGTAATTCCTGAGGAAAGGAAAAAATATGATGTACATAAATTGCTTGTGGTTTGGGTTTACAACTTTCCAAATGGCCTGAGGTGATGGGAAGAGTGTTAAAGTTACTTTATGAGATGTTTATGACAACAAATAAATGAGATAGTTACCAATGGTGGTGTTGGTGTCTGAGCCAAATGACCCTGTAAAAAAGGAAGGAAAACAAGTTACACCTTCACAGATGATTCATGCCATCACAAATATTTAGAATACTTTTATGTATTTTTTTAAGTTTCTTGGTATATATTTTGAATTTACATGACTAATAATGACATTTTATGATGAAATCGCTAAAAAATGAGTGTGAGATGACTGATGGCCTGAGAAAAATCTTATGATATAAAAGACCTGGAAGATTTTTGTATATCTGGTACTTAGAGAAAATTTTACTTTCTTGGAAACGAGGTGTTCAGACAACCTAGAGCAGTGGTGGGCAAACTGTGGCTCATGAGCCACATGCAGCTCTTTGGCCCCTTGAGTGTGGCTCTTCCTAAGCCTTAGGAGTACCCTAATTAAGTTAATAACAATGTACCTACCTATATAGTTTAAGTTTAAAAAATTTGGCTCTCAAAAGAAATTTCAATCGTTGTACTGTTGATATTTGGCTCTGTTGACTAATGAGTTTGCCAACCACTGACCCAGAGGAAACGTAAGAGAGGAAAAACACCGCAGGAACTCAGGACCCAGATTTAAGTCTCAATTAGTGCCTTGGTTTTGGTTTTAACTCTTAAAACTAACATCTCAGTGTTAGCACTGAAATTCATGTGTCCCAGGAAACCCCAAAGTCTCAGGTAAATTTCAGTGGTTGGTCACTCCATGTGAATTTGGACAATTCACTTCCCATGTTTGAGATCATTTTCTTAAATTCATAAATTAAGAATATTAGCAACCCCTGTGCTTACTCCACACGATTTCTGTGAGGATGAATTCAGCTAATGCCTATAGAAACATAGTGAGAACTGTTCAATAAGATATAAACTAATGATCCATTGAAAACACCTACTTTATAAAATTCAATAGTAGACAAAACTGAACAGAGAAAGCCATTAAACCTTTCTCGTCACATAAGGTCACACAATGAAAAAACAAATTCTAAGTCTGAAACTCATTTACTCATAGTTCTGATTTATCTCACTTTCTTTAATCTTCTAAGAACTCTAAAAATGCCTGAGTCACTTCTGATACCCTATCTCCACCTATTCTCCTCCTTCCCCTTGAGCAAGGCAAAATCCCAAAGTCCCATGAGGCTCCAAGCTGCTGAGAGGTGGGTGTGAAGACCCAAGGTACAAAGCAGAGCAGGGAGGAGCTATCAACAGGTTTTCCACATCCTGACATCTGGTAAGACACATTTCTAGTCCTAATCCTCCAAGGGCAGTCCTGGTTCATGTCACCATCCTGTGGCACTACGATACACATCCATTATGAAAATAAAGCCAAAGGAAAAATGCTTCCTTGCCAAATTATACTAGTAAGTTGGAAAGGAAGCATTATATGAACTAAATTTTCTTATGTGAACTAGAAATTATAGCTTTTACTACCTATGTCATAAGTTATTGATGTGTTCATTAAATCATTAACAGTTTCAACATTTACAGTGGAGATGATTTGGTTATACTAATAATATATTAAAATAAAAATATTTCAAAAAATCATATTTCTACTCACCTTCCATTCTTCAGAGCTCTCAGATTCAGTATGTTGATACCTGGCTACCTAGAAAATTTAGTACACATGGTCAGCCTACAGAAAAATTTCCAAGACAGCAGCTATTAACACTTTACTTAATTAGGACCAATGGTAGTCAAATTTTAGCAAGCATCCGACTCACCTGGAGACCTGCTAAAACACATTGCTGTGCCCCATCCCTAGACTCGGGCTCAGTAGGTCTGAGGTAGGACCCAAGAATTTACCTTTCTAACCAAGTGGTAACTGATGCTGATGATGCTGGTCTAGGGATGACACGTTGAGAGCCGCTGCTTATGAGGAAGAAAACTGAGACTTGTGGCTATATGAATGGCGGCTCATAAAGAATAACTCGGATGATATTTTAAAGAAAGCAGCTTCCTAAGAAACTACTGTTTTCATCTTGACTGGGATATACACAGCCACCTTGGCTCATAGCCAGTGAAAATTGTGAAGTTTTAGGTATAAAGGGTGTGTGTGTGTGTGTGTGTGTGTGTGTGTGTGTGTTTCCCCCTATATCCCTATCCTGATACTTACTGGAAGAGCACAGGACAACCCCCAAAGGAACATAAGCAGAATGCTGGTCTTCATTGCTGGGTGTGACACCTCTACCTGCGATGAAAGACAGATGTTTTTCTCCAGGCTACCAAAATATAGGAGCTTCAACTTTTTAACAGTTTCTGCCTATTTAAAACATAACTCATCACATGCACACACACACATACATAATTCATCCAAATGTCCATCAACTGATAAATGGATAAATAAAATGTACTCTATGCATACAATGGAATATTATGCAGTCATAAAAAGGAATGAAATACTGATACATGCTACAAAGTGACGAACCTTGAAAACATTACACTGAGTGAAAAAAAGCCAGACACAAAAGACCACATATTGTATAATTCCATTCAAAGGAAATATCCCAGACAAATCTATAGAGATAAAAAGTAGACAAGTGGTTGGCCAGGAGTTGGGTATAACAGCTAAGAGGTGAATTTGGAAGTGATGAAAATATTCTAACATTGATTTCAGTGATGGTTTTACAGCTCTGGGAATATGTTAAAAACTATTAAACTGTACACTTTAAATAGGTAAAATATATATGTGAATTATATCTCAATAAAGCTGTTTAAAATAAACCTTACTGCTAAGAGATAACTTGAAAACTTTTCAATGAGGAGGTCTGTAACACTTCTTCACTAACACATAAAATATGATAAATGAAGGGAAATTTAAAGAAAAAGGAATAAAGAAATTTCTGACCATTCACTTTCATAATAATTATGCAACTTGGTATAGCAGAGCAACCTGACAAATATATTCCTCCCCAAAAAACTATATTTATGGATACCATTGATAGCTGGTGGGCATTTGTCTACGCACGCACACACACACACACACAGTGGCTTTTCAGTCACATATAACCTCATAATAATGTCTACACAAAATATATCAGTTTTGCCTTTCTTTTCTTGATCTGCAAGAAGTGCACTATGGAAGGCTTCATATCACAGCTCCAGGAAGCTCGTAATATCTCCTGTGCTACATTTAGTCACACATTCTACATGAATATGCTAAATTCTTTTAAGTGTCATTCACAGTACTGAAGGCTCTCGGGAAGACTGGAGGCTTGGATGCACTTGTGAATCATGCTCCCAGAAACAGGCCAAATCAAACTGCATTTTCCTGGAGGCTTCATTTCACACCTCCAGAACTGGTAACTTGGAAAACAATTTGTTCTATATCTAAAAATGAAAGTACTAGATGCTAAAGAGTTATTGAAAAGATTTAAAAGGAACGTCATTTGCCCTAACAAACTGGTCAGATGGACTTCCATACATTTTGCAAAAAAAAAAAAAAAAAAAAAAAAAAAAAATCCTGCAAGTTTATTGTAGACTTCACTATTGTCTATTTGTTTTTTCTAATGTTAAATATATGCCATACTAGAGACAAAAGATCACAGGCAGAGATTCTCAACCTTGGCTGTTCATTAGTTTCTCTGGGGAGATTTGAAGCTATACCAATGCTGAGTAAGTATTCAGCTCACTGTGGGGTGGGAATAGGCATGAAGTTTGTTCCTAAGGTACGCCAGGTGATTTTAACCCTTGATCTGAGAAAGAAGTGTACACTGCTCAAAAATGTCTGAATATGCTAAATAATGGCTGAAGCATTGGGCTTGAGAAGTCATTTCAACTTCTTTTTAAATGTATTCAAGAAAACAATAGAAATCCTAAGATAGGAGGCTGAACACAGTCCTCATTTCTGCTTTCATGCAGCTCAGACGGTCCAGCAGGGCCTCTCGTTCTCTGTCACGAGCATTATCCCTCTTCAACACTGCCATCCTTAATGTGTGCTATTTTCTTTAGCCTAATTCCATATAGGTCATATTCGTCCTTGTATTTTGATATTATTTAAATTTGTTAAAATCCTTTGCCTCATATCAACTGAGAAAACGTGAAAATACTTACCTGCACCTAAAGCAAGCCTAATTCAACAAGATATTACTTCTGAAGGAAAGCAGATCATCTCATCCCCAAATATGCCTCTTTGACATGAAACTATTTTGAGCTGAAGGCACTTGAGAAACAGCAGATGTGAGAAGGGCACACTGGTCCACCTTTGTCTTTCTGAAAATAGCAACTCAAACTCCCATGTGAGCGAGTTTTCTCTGAACCATAAGGAAAGAAGGCATCTTATCTCCAGAGATGAGACTCAGGCGCAAACAAGCCTTGTTAAACTAACCCTTATCTTCCCAGTCACTTCTGCACAATTTACTGCCCATAGCCCCACACCCTTTCTTGTCAATTCTTCACAAATGTAGTGTTTCTTTGTCTCTAAAAGGTATAATAGCTTTCTGCTCTGGTCACTTCAGGTTTTCATTCTCTTTTGAAGACTCCCATGTACATGTAAAAATTTTAATAAAACTTGTATGCTTTTTTCTGATACTCTGTCTTAGGTCAGTTTAATTCTTAGGCCCCGCAGAAGTCCCTAAGAGACTAGAATTTACCTCCTCTACACTTCCCTGTGGTTTCCACACTCAAAACATTTTTTTAAGTTCTTAGGTTTATTTCTTAAGGAAAGGAAAGTTTCCCCCAAATATGATACTCTCGAAATAACTGCATGCCAATGGTTTTGGCTTCACAGGTCAGATGAAAAGTAGGCTGCTCGCCATTTTAATTTTCAAAGTGAAATTCGAATAGGGTGGTGATCTCCTGATGCTCTGAAAACTAGAAAATATTCCAGCCTTAATAAAAGGCCAATGAATACTAAGTTGTCTCCTTGTATTTTCTTTTCTCTCTTATCCAAATAACAAACAAAACAAAAAAATGAGGAGATGAATGTTACGGGTGTTTTGTTGTTGTTGTTGGTTTGTTTTGTTTTGTTTTTACAAAGGAAATATATGCTTCCAGTGGTCAAGTTTCTCAGGAATGGACTATCATGAAACACAATATGCTTATGCTTCTAGAAATACCATTAACATCCTGACCTAAAGTAATAATTTCCCAAATGAAAGTCTGATAAAGTAGAATAAAATATACCTTGGGGTCCTGAGAGACCTGATATTGAATCCCAAAGAATATCACCTGTCATCAAGCATTAAAGAAAGTCAGATCTTGCCCAGCTGGTGTGATTCAATGGTTGAGCATTAACCTATGAACCAGGAGGTCACGGTTCGATTCTAGTCAGGGCACTTGCCTGGGTTGTGGGCTTGATCCCCAGTAGGAAGCATGCAGGGGCAGCTGATCAATGATTCTCTCTCATCTTTGCTGTTTCTATCTCTCTCTCCCTCTCCTTCCTCTCTGAAATCAATAAAAAATATATTTTTAAAAAGGATATTTAATTACTGTTGTTTATTTTTTAAAATATTACTCTTTTGTGAAATGTATTTCCAAATGAGAGTTTCAGACTTTTATAAGCTTTTTTGCTGCCATCCTACACAGACTACAATCAGATACGCAGTAGCCCTATTCTGAGCAATAAATTAGCAAAGTAGCTACAAGCCTGAAAGATATTAATCCAGAACCTCAAGTACTTCTTTGGTGATTGGTAAATGTCACTCCTACATTGTACACCCTATCATTCTACCATAAGAGCATGGAACAAAAGGAAATCAACAACCTCAATTTGAGTTCCACCTGTTTGGAAGGCAGTGTATGTATGTATTAGAGCAGTGGTTCTCAACCTTCCTAATGCCGCGACCCTTTAATATAGTTCCTCATGTTGTGGTGACCCCAATCATAAAATTATTTTCGTTGCTACTTCATAACTGTAATTTTGCTACTGTTATGAATCATAATGTAAATATCTGATATGCAGGATGTATTTTCATTGTTACAAATTGAACATAATTAAAGCATGGTGATTAATCACAAAAACAATAAGTAATTATATGTGTTTTCCGATCGTCCTGGCCACCCTGTGAAAGGGTCGTTCAACCCCCAAAAGGAGTCGCGACCCACAGGTTGAGAACCGCTATATTATAGACTTTCAACCTTCATCAATGGTTTTCCCAGAGCTGAAAAGATAGAAAATAATTAGGATCTGGAGAAGGCAATTGTAGTTCTTTCTCTCTCTGGCTACCCTCAAGTATAGCCTAAACTTCTTTGTGCTCTCAAGTAAGGAAACTTGTTCTGGAATTGCCTCAAAGTTAATGTTCACATCTAACGTACATGTCTTAATTCACTGAATTTACGTACTTTACAATGAAGGGATAGGCCAGAAGAAGGAAAGAAGAGCTTGAAAAAATCATTGACTCAAATTATCATGCCTAATTTGCTTGGTTTTGGCTTGGCATGATTGTTCTTAGTAATACTAATGAACACTTTATCCATTCATTGGTAGTCAACAAATATTTATAAGTACCTTGTATGTGCCAGACACTATTCTAGGTGCTGAGAGTGCAATAGAGTATAATAACAATAATGAGCTGGTCTTATAAGAGGAAAATTACCCAGAACCCAACTAACCAGAACATTAGCTAGAATTTGTTTGATTATTACTCTTTGAAAATAAAGTGCAGTTTGACCAGGACATTAATTCTATCAGGAATTCAGAAAAACAAACCAATAAATCAATTTTAAAAAGTCCGATCTTTCCAATTATAATTGTCTTGAGATCAGTTACAATCAATCCCATGTCATATGCCTTCAACCACAGTTTTATAACTTTTAAGTTCCAATATAAATTTAGATTTGGAAGACCTCTAAGCATCTGAGGCACATTGGTCCACATCACCATTTTGAGTTAGGTAAGTAGACTGACTAATGCCCTTTAGAAAACTTTGTTTGTTCACATGTTGTAACCAACCATATCAAAGTAAAATGGTCTACTTGGCCATCAATTAAACAGAATGTATGGTTTACCAGAGGTTATTGCTCTTGAAAAAGACAGGTTTCTATAAGCGTTGCTATGACACATGGAATCTTCTATATGTCACCCAGAATGCATTGCCTGACCATAGCCCCTGCTCTCCATCATGGAAGACAGACACTTCCGACAAAGATCAAGTGGATTAAATGCAGCAAATAAAAAATGCATATGGAACCTTAGCTGGTTTGGCTCAGTGGATAGAGCATCAGCCTGTG